AAAAAATATGTTAAAATTTTACAAAATAAAATTAACAAACTACTCATGTTAACAAATCTGATTTTTATAACAGTGTAGTTGCCAGTTTTTGGGCAACCTAACCTAACTTTGCTCTGTGCATACGTAATCTAACCTAATACCATCAAGGGAAATAAATTTACTTGTGTAATAGAATCATAAACTACAAACGCTTATTTAAAAGGATTATACAGGTTCGTTGCTCGTGCTTGCTTGTTTGTTCGCTTTTCATTGAGAGTTATTATAAACATACTTAATCTACATTTTATATTCCTTCTTTATAAGCCAGAAATGGACGGATTTCTTCACGTCTTATTAAAACACAACAAAAGTTTTAATGCCTAATTCAGTAATTATTTTCCTCTAAATGTCGTGGAATGGAAAATAAAATTTTAGCTATTTATTTATGTGGTTTTCATTCCATTTTAGCTTTTTAGTAAAACGGAATAAAACGTCTTTATTTTTCTTTGAGAACCGTACCTTCACTAACCGTTTTGTGTATTTATTGAAATTATACACAACAATAATTTTTATTAAAAATAATTTACATAGAAAATCTACATTTTCAGAAAACATTTTAAAATTGAAATTGTGTGACGAGTTCAATAAAAAAGGTCCTAAGCACCCAACTGTATCAAAATGTACTGTTTTAAGAAAATAATTCAATAACTTTTTATAGCAAAGTAAAGTAAGTATTACCTAGCATTATTAAACCACAACAATACATTTAAAGCATACCTACGAACTGAACATCATTGTTAAATAAATAAGAACTTTTTTACAAAATAGAGGAAGAGGTCTTACTAGACAAATTTTGTTCGCAAAGTTTCAATTGCACAGCTAAATCGCCCACGTGATTTGTGTTTCGCGTTGCAAGTAAAAACTAAAAAACTTTGGTTTAGTACCTACTCGATTTCATGGTGAATTATTGTGTTTTTAATTGTTAATGTAATTCAAGAACTAAATTGTTGATGCAGAAATAACTAATAATAACTTTACTGAATAATATTTATATTTAGGTTTGGACATTTTTAAGAAATCTAACCAAAAATAAGAGTTGTACAAACATAATAATAATAACATAATATTACATATGTACTCATATAATACATAACATAATACACGTTTTTGTTTTTTTACCGTTGAGTGGAGACTTTCTTAATCAATGCTTTTAATAATTCATAACGCTGTTTGAATTAAGACGACTTAAGTATTTGTTTTATGATTTTAACTGAATTGAAATGTTTACAATTTTTTCCGTAAATCATTACAAATTGTGTATCTAGGTACAATTTATATTTACAGGAACTGTATGCAATTTATTTCTTATTCGGATTTCCACTGTTTATTAGGAAACCGGTAAAAATTCAACCCAGGATTTCCTCTCGAAAAACACCCAACAACACAACAAATCGTTCCACGTTTTTTTCGATATTTTTAACATTTTACGACCTTATTATCAAAAACACTTGTTTGTAACATACGCGTTTAACTCCTACCGACTCTGCCCTATTATTACTATTATTATTATAAAGGGCAGGATTGTACTTGATTTTATCTTAATAAAAGGTCAGGGTTGTGCTGGATTTTATATAGCTGAATTTCAGGGTTGTACTGGATTTTATCTAGCTGAATTTCAGGGTTGTACTTGATTTTATTTAATTTATTTTAATAAATATTTCTTAAAGGGGATTTACCATAAACGCTGCGTAAATTAAGTGTACTTGATATCGATTTTCTTGAATGCGGGATTTATTAAATTGTACTCGCAGATTTACATTTATGTCTCGTAATTAGTTACCAGTTACCAGGATATGATACCCAAATCCCCTACCCAGAAGTCTCGGGTTTGTTCCCCGTTCTTGAAAAACGATTTTTATTTTTTTCTCTTTAAAAAATACTCCATTTTATAAAAAATTGATTTTTATTGTTAAATTCACTTGCTTCCCACACTTAAAATAATTCGTTAAACGCGACAAATATTTAAGGGGCAAGCAATTATCTACGGTTGAATCCGATCCTAGACTCTTGTAGTTGTAACTAAATCGAGCCTTCAGAACTTGATTTTTATGTTTTGTGTTTACTGGTTTACATCAAGTTTTTTGTAATACGTATCTACGTAATATTATTAAACTGTTAATGTATTTAATATTCCAAATAATCTTTAATGTGATGTTGCCAAATTTCCAAAAATTCCCAGAATCTGAGTATTTTTTAAAATTTTTAGGATACCTTTAGTAAGTAATCTTAAACTATTTTGTGCTGTTGCCAAATATTCAAAATTTCCTGAATCTGGGAATTTCCAAAAATCTTCTAGTCATTGTTTACTGGTTTACATCAAGTTTTTTGTAATACGTATCTACGTAATATTATTAAACTGTTAATGTATTTAATATTCCAAATAATCTTTAATGTGATGTTGCCAAATTTCCAAAAATTCCCAGAATCTGAGTATTTTTTAAAATTTTTAGGATACCTTTAGTAAGTAATCTTAAACTATTTTGTGCTGTTGCCAAATATTCAAAATTTCCTGAATCTGGGAATTTCCAAAAATCTTCTAGTCATTATTAAACTGGGAATACATTTTTAATATTCCAAATGCTAGTTTAAGCGACGTTGCCAAATTTTCAAAAATCCCGGAACCTGAGAATTTATCTTTGCTTTTTGCGGAGTTGCCAAATTTCCGGAAATTCCCAGAACCTGGGTATTTTTTAAAATCTCTAGGATACATTTGGTCAGTTATTTTGAACCATTTAGTGGTGTTGCCAAATTTCCAAAATTACCTGAACCTGGGAATTTTCAAATATCTTCTGGATACTAGCAAACTGTTAATATTTTTTTAATATTCTAAATGAACTTTTTTGTGACGTTGCAAAATTTCCAAAAATTACAGAATATATATATGCTTTTTTGCGATGTTGACAAATTTACAAAAATTCCCAGATCCTGGGTATTTTTTAAAATCAGGATACCTTCAGTAAGTCCTCTTGACCCATTTAGTTGTCAAATTTACAAAATTCCCTGAACCTGGAAATTTTCAAAAATCTTTTGGGTACTATTGAATTGTTAATACATTTTAAATATTCCTAAAATTATTTTTTAGGAAGTTGAAAAATTTTTAAAAAATCACATATTGTGTTGGTTTCCCTTTCACGCAACAGCGGATCGACGTAATTTTAAGATAGTTAATTGGCAACTTTTTTTATCTTCTCCTTTTTTTAATTTATTTTTGAATTTTGAATTTTCTTTTTTATTTATTTTTTTAACATATCAATGTGATTTTTTGCATATAGTTGATGAACCAAGCAGAAAGAAATATAAATAGATAAAATGAATAAATTTTAATTGAAGTTCTTCCTTAGAAACACGGGGCAAAGCCGCTGGTTTCAGCTAGTTCACTATATTTTAATTGGAAAACTACGGGTTTTTATGAATATTATATTTTTTATATTATTATTTTTATTATTATACAGGGTAAGTCATTTAACTTGAAACTTTGAAATATCTCAGTTAGTATGCATTTTATGAAAAAATGTTTAAAATAAAAATTAAATGATTCGAGGGGGAAATCAATTTTGTTAGATTTTTCTTCTGTATACGATTCTGTAATAAAAAATAGGGTATTCCATTGGAAATGTTACCCCCTGTTCCCCCTATAAGGAGGAGAGTACACTGTTTAAAATATCTGTGGTGTAAAGGGTAATCTTAAAACGGTGTCAAAATCCAACACCAAGTGGTGTTAATATAAAAATATTTTTGTGCACCTACACAGAAAAAAGGAATGGAATGAATTATGGTTAAAAATGTTATATACAGCAAACACCAAAACGGTGTTAATCTAAAAATATTTGAGAAGTGCACCTACACAGAAAAAAGGAATAGTTCATTTAACTATATTAATTTAGTTGACCCATAAGTATTTATTTAAATCAACTGTGGGAAGGTTAATAATATAAACAAAGATTAGTTTGACGGTACTAAACCAGATAGTTATTTAATTTTTTTTAAATTGGTTAAATTAACCCAGAAAACTTTAGTGAAACCAACCCGCTGTATGGTTCAGTTTACCAAATATGTTGTTTGTAAAATAAGAGTTACTTCAATCTAAAGCACTCTGTTAAAACGATTAAAACAATTTTCCGTGCATTCCTGGTTGCATAGTGTGTACCGATCGCGGCAAAGGCGGTGTGGATCACGTGATGTTCTTAAATCTCGCCTTTGTTGACTTACATGAAGAGTATATAAGCTCAGGTAGTCCCTTGCTTTGGTTGTGACACTACAAGTTGTTCGATACTAAAGAAACATTAAATAGGTGGAAACAGCTGTCAATACTTGAAGTATTTGAAGTTGGTGGAACGCACTAAAAACATTATCTCTAGTGAGTTGAACGTTCAATTTTCTGGAATAATACCACTGGTAATATACTAGTAATGCGTCAAGGAACTCCCTGCTTCCTTTTTTTTTTCTTTTTTTTTTTCTGTGTAATATGATTTAATTTGACCAAAAACACATAATATTTAACACTGAAAAGGAGTTTAATTTACACCATTTAAAATTTTAATACTGTGTGAAAGTTAAATTTACACTATTTTAGTATTTGAATTTACACCGGACCAACGAACCATATTTAACACCATTTTGGTTTGTATCGATACAGACCATTCATGGTGTTAATTTGGTGTTACAATGGTCATGAAATTTTGAACAGTGTATGAGAACCAATTTTAGTACTGATTGATTTCCCCCCTCGAATCATTTAATTTTTATTTTTCAAAAATACATATTAACTGAGATATTTCAAAGTTTCAAGTTAAATGACTCACCCTGTATATTGTTTATGTAAATAATATTTTAAATCCTTAAATTAAATAAAAGACTGACGTCTTTGTTACTATCTAAATAGAGTTCTGTTAAAAATTCAAAGAAACGCAGAAGGTACTCATTTTGCACAATCTCAAACAATTAAAAAAAAATTAGCTTACCATTCCGAAGTCCCCTTCGCCAAGCTTTTCGAGCAGCCGAAGCCTGTGCCGCGGAAAATCCAGTAGGTGGGCGACTCCTTCCAGTGGCGGGCCTTCGGGCAGCTTAATGGGAGTGAATCGGCCGGGGGTGAAGTGCTGCTCTCTGCGTTCGCCCTGCAACAATATGCATAAATTAGGTTTTGCGATCCGGCGTTTCAGTGCCCGGAATTACGCGCATTAAGAGTCGGTGTACCAAGAAAATTGGGGAATAGAAGGGCGTGCGGCGATTCGATTAAAAATAATTATGAGAATGTTAACAGGATTTTTATTTCATTAAAAATGAAACGTGGGGTGATGGAAGCGTTTTCAATAGTCTTAACAATACCACTTTATTTTAAATACTAAGATTAATATTAATAATAATAATAATAATAATAATAATTTATTAATCACAGAATTACAACAGAAAATGACAGGTCAAAAAGATAAATTAAATGTATATCAAACATAAACATAACACGTTTCTACTTTAAAAAACAATAGAGACTATCTTTTCCTTAAATTCTTCTATGGTGTAACAGCATGCAGACTGCAAAAAAGATTTTATGATTTTTTTAAATTCATTAAAGGGTTTTTCACTTAAACCATTTGGCAAATTATTATAGAGACGAATTCCCACGAAGTAAGGAGACTTTTCATATTTTGCATGCCAATGCATTTCAATGGGGATTTTTTCTTTAGATCTAGTGCTGTAGTGACACTTATTTTTATTCATTAGTTGCATTTTATTGTTATGTACCAGACAAAGAAGTTTGTATATATAGACACTTATAAAAGTTAAAATTCCATAATTTTTAAAATAACATCTACAAGAATCTAGTTTCTTCCAAATAAAAATAACCCTAATGGCATATTTTTGCAAGATAAAAATTCTACTACTATTTTTAGCAAGACCCCAGGATAAAATATTAAAACTTAAAATACTATAAATGTTTGCAAAATACACATTAAGAAGATGGATTTTTTTAGTTTCATAGCTAAATAATCAATGTGTTCATCCCATGTAAAGGATTTATCTATTATCATTCCCAAAAATTTGGAGGAATTCGAGAAGTTAAAAAGTTGATTATTGATTTGAATTTCTTTCTTAAGATTACCATAGGAGAATCGGATCAACACAGTTTTTTTTACATTAATTATTAATCTATTTTTAAAACACCAGTTGCTAAATTCTGTCATCACCGATTGAATTAAATTAGCAATTTCACTTTCAGTCTTGCCATATACAACAATAGTTACATCATCAACATACACAAACAGTTTTCCCACACTAATGTATTTGGGAAGATCATTAATGAACAATATAAATAACAAGGGACCCAGAGTACTGCCCTGAGGTGTTCCAATATCTCTGAATTTTTCTCATTGACCTTAATATAAAATTTTCTATTGGACACATACTATAGCAGCCATTTGTTTATGTTTCCCCGTATACCAAGGTTATATAGTTTCTTAGACAAAAAATCTGGATACAGAGTATCGAATGCTCTAGACAAGTCAAAAAATATTCCTTAAGATTAGGATTACAAACTTTTTTTTAATCTAGCCCTCATAAAATTTTACTTGGTTTGCATTAAAAAACTAATTTAAAGTTTTAAATCAGAAACTTTTAAAGTTGTAAATATTTAAAGTTATAAATCCTATTAAACTAAAAAATAAAAGTTCAATATTTGTAGCTTTGTAAACTTCAAAGTTTAGGTAAAATTTTATGAAACTTGCTTTCATATTAAGATTTAAAAATTACATATTTTCTTGTAAAATCATTTTAGAATTTTGTATAATTCATATTTTAATTGTTTTGCTATTTCTTTATAGAAAAATTGTGTCTAATAAAATAGTTAAAACCTTTAATTTAAAATACCCAATAAATTACCTTTTTCTACTCCCACCTTTAAAACGCCCTTTATCGTACATGTTTCCATGACGCTTTAGTCACGGGCTGAAGTTAGTTTTAAGTTAGTTGACAGTTGTCAAATGTCATACAATCGTTAAAATAAAGTGCCTTTCTTGTAAAATAATACTAACACGGTGCTGTTCTGAGAGGTGATTTTTGGACTTTCTGTGAAACCTAATTTTTTTTTATATTCTTGTTAATTAGGTCATAACTAAAATTTTAAGAGCAAAATAAAAAAAATTTGACGGTTGGAATTGTTTTAATTGGCTCTTTATTAAAAATATTATGCACTCTTTCAATTATCCAATTAAAACCAGCGATTTAATTTAAATATTTAATATTGCATAACTAAAAAAAAAGGCTTTTACAATCTTTTTTATATATTTTACTGTTTTGTTAACAAACATGTTGCAATAAACGTTCAAACTTTTAATCTAACCTTTGACGTATACATTTATGTTCCCTTAATTAATATATCCTTAAAGGTTGCCATGAAACTTAGATCTATTAAAAATTTATTTGACGTTTGAATTGTCATTTTCAGTATACGTATTCTATAATTTTTGTTTAGTTTTGTAAAGTGTTTTTTATAAACAAAAATGAAAAATTGTAGTAAAAGTTACGAAGAAATTCATGAAAAAAATCGAAATTTATTGTGTGTTGTTTGTTTTAAAAAAAATTCAAGTTAATATTAATCCCAGCGACGCTTTATTCGATTTTAAAGGAAGAAATTATTGACTTTAACCCAAATGATAAAAAAAAAACAATTTTTAGAAACAGGTGTTAAAAAGCTTTTTATATTAGCCATAGCTCCTGCAGTAGAAGAAAATTATTACAATTTAAAAATGATTTGGAACATTTTGAATTTAAATTCTTTGAGGGATATTTTTTTCTTATCCTGCGATTTAAAAATTCTTAATATATTATATGGCCTACAACCACATAGCTCTACCCATCCCTGCACATGGTGCAATGCCAACAAAAATAATTTTTTAGAAAACGGAGATCCCAGAACATTGAAAATTATTAAAGAAAATTATTTAAATTGTTACGTAAAGAAAATGGAAATAAAACACAATTAAGTTTATACGAAAACTGTTTCAATTTACCAATTATTGAAAATGAGAAAAATGTTATAGTCGTGCCTCCCGAACTGCATCTTTTAATAGGTGCAGTCACAACAATTTTTAACTCTTTTCAAAAAAAATTTCCCATCATCGTAGATACATGGCTTAAAAAATGCAATCTCCAAAAAAAATTTACTAAAGGCTCTGGATGGTGTTTTAATGGCAATGAGAGTCTAAAATTGTTAAAAAGAATTGACTACCTGAGAAACATTTCTACTCTGGAACCTCTAAAATTCATTCAATGTTTTGCAAGTTTGGAAAGGGTTGTGGACATGTGTTTTGGTAAAAAAATAAATAAAAGTTATTTAGACCAAATAAACAAATTTATGAAAGATTTTGAAGACCTACAAATCGGAGAAACTCCCAAGATACATGCGATTATTTATCATGTGCCTGAATTTGTACAAAGGTATGAAGAAGGTTTGGGAATTTATTCCGAACAGGCATTTGAAGCTGCCCATGCAGAATGGAAAACTTTTTGGGCACGTTACAAGTTGGGTAAAGATCACCCAGAATACCCAAAACGTTTAGTTAATGGAATTATGCAATACAATACATTGCATTTGTAATTTAATATGTTTGATTATTAAAAGTTTGTTTTTAAGGGTAGTTTTAATTTAAATATTTATGGGTAAAATTAAAAATATTAAAAATAAAACAATTATTTAAGCAAAATAATTTAACTAAGGACTAATAATAAAAATAAAACAATTATTTTAGCAAAATAATTTAACTAAGGACCGGTTTATTCATCTTTAGTAAAGTTTATCGGGCCGATAACTTTCATGTCTTGCCAATATCTAGTATTCAAAGAAATTATTCGTCAAATAAATCAAAAATGAATAAATCGGCCCTAAATAAAATGTAGCACCCTTAGAATTATTGTTTAATAAATGTATACTATACATTTAACCTTAAATTAAAACTTTAAACGTGTATTACAACAAAACAGTAAAAGATATAAAAAAATGTATAGACCTTTTTTTTTAGGAAATTAACTAATCTTTAATCTGGTTTAAAAAGTTATGATAATATTTAAATAAAATCGCAAGTTTTAATTGGAGAATTGAAAGAGTGCATAATATTTTTAATAAACAGCCAATTAAAACAATTGCAACCGTCAAATTTTTTTTATTTTGCTCTTAAAATTTTAGTTATGACCTAATTAACAAGAATATAAAAAAAAATAAGGTTTCACAGAAAGTCCAAAAATCACCTCTCAGAACAGCACCGTGCTAAATGTGAAAATTTTATTATTATCTCAATCCAAAAATACAAAAGTATTAAATAGTTTCTCAAAGCCAATATTTAAAAAGTTTATATGAACATTGAACTGACCTTTTAATTTCGCCGGCAGTAAACTATAACTTAAATTAGGGCACGGACTCCACTGTAAAGTGCTCATGAAACATTTTCTTTACTTTCACTGTAAAAAACTGTCAATTTTCAAGAAATACATTTCGATTTATAACCTTTATAATCTGTGTTTATAAAATAAAAAAAATTGACATTTAACGGTGACACACAGATTCCCCTATTGTTTCATAGATGGCGCTCTATACATTAATTTTTTATTTAAATCATTTTAAGATAATAATAAGTATTTGTCGTAGAAAAAGTATAGTATGCACCTCGTTTATAGTGGAGACTCCACCGTGGATTGCCCATAAGAAACTATCTTTACTTTCACTGTGAAAAACTGGTTCTATATCGGATTTAACCAGTGGTCAAAAAAAACATTTCAATATACACAAAAAAAATTGACATTTTAACCGGCAACAGATTCCCAAGTTACTAACTTGAAGTTAGAATGGTTACTCTATTGTTTTATATGTCGCTCTATACAAATATTTAATTAAATTAATTTTTATAAACTTTTCCAGACACTCATTTAATTAAACACTTACTCGCAAGCTCGGTCGTGCCTAATTAAAATTGGTGACTTAAATAAACTTGATACCAAATATTCTATTTAATATTGGATATTAAAATTATATTTAAATATTAATTTATATAATATTTAATTTATATGCTATTTTAACATATTTATAATTAATACAAATGTTGAAAGCATTACTTTAAATAAGTACAAT